GCAAAGTACCTTTATTATTGCAGAAATCCATGGGCTAAAACTTGAAAGGTAAGTGAACCTATTATTATGGATGCAATAAATAATTGAGTATTTAGTATTTACGCTAACAATCTTTTTAAAAATTTAAGAGAAATATTGTCACTTTTTGTTTTAAGGCGTTTTTCGTATTACTTTATTGTGACTTATCTTATGGTTTTGGAGTAAAAGCGTCTTTATGCTAAAAATGACGTTTTTCAACACAGAGTTTACATAACTATCACGGGGTGCCCGTCCAGATCCCGTCACTACTAAAAACGTGTCACTGTTACTCACAACAAATGCCGGTTTTCCCATTAAACTCCATAACGACACTAGTGATATCTGCCGAACTATTTGAGCTTTAAGCGTGGGATTTTTACAGCATGCACTTTTCACGGAGCGCTGATAAATGGCGTTGTTAACTCAATTTCTCCCAATTTCGTATAGTGACGGTTTGATTATGAACGTGCGATATGACAGAAAATGTTCAAAATAGCTAGAAAATAACCATGGTGATTATTTGCAGCCATGAAGTTGGTCTTTTCAGCAGAAACTTATTGCAGGAATTTGCCCAATCATCAAAACCAATTGTAAATTGTATAGTAAGCGCGATACGACGCCGAGAGGGAAAATAATTTGTAAATGCCAATAAATTCACTTTAATGAAGAGGATGAGAGGGAATACAGGAAAGAGAAACGCATATTTAAGGAGCTGATGTGTTTTTGACTATGCTTAAAGGCAAAATGCCATGCGATCTAAAACATAAATTAGATATCTATCTTAACAGTAAATTACATACCAATATAAGTCTAGCATTCACATTTAATTGCCACATATCACAGTATTGAATTCTATTGTCTTGATATGCTGATACTCAAAGGGTAGTTGCACAACAAAAAATAAAAAAAGATTTTTAATTGTTATTGCAAGAGAAATTTCATTAGCTTAACAATATTGTGTCCTTCATCTCATAAAAAGGATATTTGACCAAAGGGAAAGTTAATTATGATTCTAGGAACTAAATAATCTTTAAATTTATAATAAATTTTAAGTTTTTGCAACGCCTTCACTGGGCGTCACATGTTCAATATTATGTTCCTGTCAACCCTTACCCATGTGACATGCAATAAAATAATTTGAATTTGAATTTGAATTAAATAGGTGAGACACTTACCAGACGGGTATTGCAGTATATCTTTCAAAAACTTTAACCTCTGAGACTATTAAAATTTATTCAAGATATTGAGGACACAAGTAGGTGATCTCAGACATTCATAAATCTGAATGCTCCGGGCCAATATAATGCAAGATCTCAACAAAGAATATGGAATTGGGCCACTTAACATAATATATTTACAAGAGATTCAATTCTCGATAGTGCCAACAAAGAAAATCTCCTTTGTGGTGTGCGTTATTGTAATAAATTTGAATTCATAATGTACTGACCTTTTTTATTTGCAGACAGTTACTTGTAGAGATGATTTACTGAAAAGAAACACATAATGTATATTAAAAATTATTGTGATCAATTACATGTAACGCAAGAGTATCCTAAATGAGAAAATTCGCACTGCCACTAAACACTAGCATATAGTAATATTTTACTGCTCTTACATCAAATTAAATAAACATATTTTTCACTAAGATTTCAAAACACAACACACAAGAATTAAATTACTAATTAATTACAAGACTTGCAAGAATTTTAAAATGACCCAAATGGCCATAATGTGATTTTTCAACCACACCCACTTGTCTTTCACTATTGATTTGAATGTCCCATACATTCATGGGTAGCAAATAAAATTACTATGTTATTCACACTATTTTTCAGCCACACACACTTCTCTTTAACATTTAATTTGAATTTTTATGAGACTTCCTAAAATTACTACTTTATCTACTACTCCTATCTAATTACAAAATAAACAGCCATGCAAACATTCGAATGCTTTTAAAGTTTGATAAAAATCATTCGCAAAGCATCTGATTGCAAAAGACACAAAAACATTTTTATAAAAATTGTTTTGATAGCATTAATATGGAATTTTAAAACACTTGCAGTATAGCAGCCACAGCTATGTACTATGTTTTTTCTTTCTACTTTAAGATAGTTTACACACTGTTTTCCCTGTTTATTATTGAGTAAGTTAACCCTTTCTGTATGGGCTCTTGGAAATAAGTGAGCCTCAAACTACAGGGATTTTCAAGCTGTCAAAATGTAATAACTAAATCTTTCATTAATTCAGTTTATACACACAAACAACATACTTTTATAATTAATATAATAAACCTGTGGGACTATTCACCTGTTAGAATCACAGAGTACAGGTGAAAGAGGTCTAAGATATTTCACTGAGAGAAGTACCTACCAATATAGCTAGGAGTAATTTGATTTGATTCCCACCAATTAACTTATTTTTAAATACCTGCATATAGGTTATCTCTTAGGTACATAGAACTGCAATCTTTCAATGATAAACAAAACAAAACAAAATTTATTTTACAAAAACGTATCGTTAATTTCTCAATTGAGCAAGACACGCAGACATATGAGGCCAAAAACATAACCATACCTCTTGAATATCAGGCTTTTACTGCTGCATACAATGGAAAGGGCTGAGCCCACTGTCTCCAATATTTAGCTTAATGTTAAACTTCCAGCCACTATTTAATTTTATTACTTAAGTCATCATTTCATTGAATCATCGCCAAGCGTCCTACTCCTCGCTCCAGCACAAAAATAATGCAGCTGCACAAATAATAAATAAAAAAATAATTCACTACTCGCACGGACGGACCACCCCGGCCCAATGACATCAATCAATAACAACGCGCAAAGAGTAGACACGTAGCACTGATTTATTAGAAACATAGGTACTCACCCATACTGCAATTTGTGTTTGTATTATTACTTTATTAGTGCACTTTTTTATTAAAAATTAATTAACAATCAACCCACGCTAACAATATTCACCAAAAACCCACGCCGACCAATGTTGCCATATAAAAAAATTAATGGCTATGTACTACACAACGCGAAATAAATATGTAATTACCCAACAGCAGAAAAAAGGACTATGTTTAACTTCCTGTTTAGTATGATAAATGAATGTATTTCTAGCAAGTTTTAATATTGTATCGGAATTAAATTATTTTTGATCGAAATTATGGATTAGAGATTCATAATTATTTATGTATTGCTCGCACTGCCTGCCCCACTAGACACACAAGTGGGAAAACATGACAGTTGTAATTTCAAAATACCTTCGCTTCGGCGTTTTTTTGTAGTTACTTTTCCTCGTGAAAGAGTTTTTTTATCGACAAAAAATCAAACATGATTTGCCCACAATGTTCTATACACAAAGTACCATCATTAATGTACTATCATTACGTTTGTGATACAAGCATAATTAACTACTCTTAGAATATAATTTTTTTGCTGTGTGCCATATTGTGCGTGTCATGATGATGATGAGCCAAACTTTAACTCTTAACATTATCTTAGAGCATTTTACATTCTACGTGAATTCTAGTCGTCCAGTTCTCTATAAACCTTAGTCAAACACTTTGGTCAAAATGAGTGGCATCCGGGCTGTTTCGTTTCTTAAATAAAGGCCCCTGACCAACATGCTTCTTCGTTTATTCTTTGACTCTCATTACTAAATCATGAAGCGTGAAGTGAAATAATTTTCCATTGCAAATAATCTGGTGGAAAATTGTAGCGTTTCTTTACACGATATAAGTTGTGGTGGGAATAGCGCGGCGCCGACTACCTACACAGAACAAATCATCACGCCATTAATTAAGTCATTTAAAAACAATAGTTAGTAACTTATTACTTTACTTATCCCATAAATCAATAAATAATAATCAATAAATAATTGGTCGGGTAACTACTAGTCGTGAAAAATGGTGATCCTCGTGAGTTTTAGTCATTGTTACATTTTAGAATGTCATTTTTTTTATTTCATATTCATAAAATGACAAGCAAAGCAGGGTGAAGAACTTGTATAATAGTAAAAGCTAGTCAATTTTCTGGAAAAAACCATAGCCTGTACTGTACAATGGGAAATTATTTCCCACTTTTAATTAAATTTTGCATGCTATTATGAATAAAGATACATTATTTCGCATACAAAATCCCCCTTCCCCCCAGTTTTGGTTTACGAACCGATGTAAGTTTGTTTGTTTTTAACTCTAAATTTTTTTCCATTTGAATAAGGCTTATATTATTATCTTTCTTTTATTTTGACAATAAAATGAACCTACCAAAAACATTCGTGACGGTTTTAATTTCGAAATCGCTAAAGAGCAAGACATCTTAACTACTTTTGGTATAAGTACATAAAAAAAAAACCGTAGAGAAGCGATTTTCAACTCTACGTCACGACCACAACGACGTTTGTTACTTTTTGGGGCTTGGTGGTGGGGGCATTCGTAAAAAAGGGTCGGGTTTTCTGTGTTGCCAGAATATTAAAGTCGCTTATTTACACGCAGAAACTGTTCTTAACATCTATCATTGAACAAAGAGCCGGATTATTGGTTTGGATTTACGGAACGCTTACTGTCAAATCATATGACGTCACTCTCGCATCAAGTCCTTGTAAATAAAAACGTGAAATAAAAAATTCTGAGCAAAGTAGACGTGCCGATATACAAAGTGCGTGAACTTCAATTTACTTCAGGTAATTTTCACAATTTTTGTATCAAGCTACTAGACACTGACGCTCAGTGTATTCAGAGTAAGTTTATGTTATATTGTACCTTGTAGAGTCGCATTCTTTTATGTAATGTTCAGTATCTGTGAACATAGCGAAGGTATTTCTAATCGATCGCTGAATATTTTTAGGTGTTTTTGTGATTATTTTCATTCATGGCTAGTTCGTGAGGGCTTTTTGGGTTTATGTACGTCGCATGACCTTCGCGATGAAGAAGGTCGCGGTATAGAGATGTTTATATAATTGCTAGTCGTGCATGTTTTGGCCACTCGATGGTGGTGTGACCGCGGCAGTGCTCGTCGGCCCCTTGTTTACAGTGTCTCGTGATATTCAACACGCCGTGTTACAGTGTTATCACAGTTTTCAGTACACACTATTTTTAGACCATTGAATTACATACAAGGTGGACTTTAGCTTTCATGTGGGCGATTGCTAGTTTTAACGAGTGTTTTTACGTGAAAAAGTTTTAACTTCGCCTTATTGTTATTGGTGAGACAAAAGGTAACTCAAGAATTGATAATAAACTACATTTGGTAGGTTAATTCATTAAAAAAATCCTTTTTAAATCATTGGTGTTTTTTTGTTGAAAACATTAATAAATCTAGGTAGAGAACTGCTACCTACCTAGGCCTATTTCCTAAATATTGATATTGATATTGGCAATAACATAATGGTTAATTTATAAGGAAAATGTAAGTTTTTATGTGATCAAAACGGGAACAAACAAAGAGGAAATCCAACTCTAACAAAGAAGATTTTATTCAATTGTTTCTATTTATCAATGTAAAGAGGAACTATGTTTTCTTTGTACAAATACCTAACAAATGCTATTCCTTTATTGTTCTGTTATTTTGCCAAATGTTTTGGAATTCAGATTATTGTATGAAAGATTTTTTCATTCTAGCTTCAGAAATATCAATGATACTGTAAAATCTAGTTACTTGTAACTCTTTCATGAACAATTTGTCTATTTCCTCAAAATAATAATGTAAAAAAATAATTGTTAATAACATTTACATTGTTATCAGTGCACAAGTCTGATAGCTCTCTAGTAATGAGCCAAGTGCTCTACACTCAGTATTCCACTTAAAAACACATTTGTTTTCATCAAGTTGATTGCCTCAGTATTCTGTTTCATTCTGTAGCACATCATCAGAAGATTGTACAGATGTCAGGCCATTAGCTAAATGAGTAGAGTAATACCCCCGCCATATTTCTGCTTAAATATATTTTTTTTTAATTAGGAATATATAATTTAAATTGTCAAATAAGTATTTATTTATTAAAATTTTTGTTACACACAAATAAATTGAAGTAAAGGCGAACTTTATGCCGTTTGTATGTATCTACCAGTTAACCTTTGGGCCATGATAAGGCTAATAAAAGTAAAATATTAACTAGAGTGAACTCAAATAGCATGATGTCTAGAAAATTATGATTGAATTGTTTCAATGAAGTTCAGAGGTGCAAATACTCCTACTGGACTCTCCATTCTCTACAATGAACCTTATTTATAAGTATTCCTTAAAGTTCAAATTCCAGAATTAGGAAGACACTCATAATTCAAGTCAATTAACCTTTAACCGACGACGTGATTTTTTTGTCACGCCGTCTGCGACGTGCGGTCTGTGGGACCGCTATACTGTTTACTCAAAAAGTAATCATTTTTTGTATAAAAGTATATTGGTTTTATATTTTTTGAGAACATTATAGTATTACAAATAAACATACGTATAATTTGCGAGAAATCAATGTATATTTTTTATTTAAATATGGCTAAAACTTTTTTGACCCTTAATTTCATTGAAATTACACTAGAGCTCAATAATACCTATATAACTTGTACATTTTAATCAAAGCAAGAAAAACTATACTCCTTCCTAAATATAGTGAACATAATGAATAAAATAAAAATAAATGACAATGGTACATTACATGCACAAAAATATTGACGTAGGGTAAACATTAGGCACAATCAGGACATTTTTTTTACCGCATGCCAAGCAATTTCGGTATGCATAGGTAACATCTGTAAGATAATTTCGTTTTCAATTTAGGTGGACTAAAATGTACGTCTTTTTTGCAGCTGGTGGAATGACATCAGAATGATTTGGCATGTCAGAGCCTAGAATACATGTCACTGTTTGCTTTACCACCCGTTTCGCGGTATTTTTTTACAGACTACCATCTTTTACATAATATTATGTTCAAATATCAATATATCATTAGGAAATGTCTTTTCCTAGGTTGTGGTGGCCCAGGATCCATCATTTTTACGAAAAATAAGTCGTATAAAACAAAAACGCAAGTTTCAGTATCGTACAAAAATGTCACGTAGTCTGCGACGTGCGGTCCCACAGACCGCTGTTGAATTTTAAATCGAATTATCTTATTAAAACTGCCCTTGTCGATGAAACCAATACCTGTAATGGCGTTTGGGCAACTAAACTCGAAGGTACTGAGACGTTCGGGACACGGGAGTAAGTAGAACATTCCAATCCAGAAATTTCAAAAACCGGAGCGGTCTGTGAGACCGCACGTCGTCGGTTAAAGGTTAAAAGGGTTCTTGTATGTTGGAACTAATTTTGATCGTACGTCCACTTCTGGACAAAGGCCTCCCCCAAGGATTTCGACAAAGACCAGTCCTGCGCCTCTCGCATCCAGGCACATCCGGCAACCTTCACCAGATCATCGGTCCACCTAGTGGGAGGCCTGCCTACGCTACGTCTTCCGGCTCGTGATCGCCACTCAAGAACTTTCCTGCTCCTCTACGAGCTATGTGCTAATGTGCCCCGCCCACTGCTACTTGATTTTAGCGATTTTCGGGCATTTTTCATTAATATTTTTCAATTTCACATCTTACAAAGACAAAAACGTTTATGTGGTACCAATACTAATGTATGCAATTTATTTGTGTATTGTTTACGAACAATTAATAGTTGCTCGTCCAACAGATAAGTTAATTATTGTCCCATCTTGCCAGGGGTCGTTTACCATGTCGGTGATAACAATCAAACCGATAGCTTATCTTTACGACTTTTATGTACTGAGAATGTACTGCTGTCGGCTTAATATAGAATGATAGGTCAATATAAATAACTCCAATCGTGGTAGTGATAAACACGGCTTTTTCGGGTAATTTAAAATAGTGAGTGAGACTAGGTGTAGTAGTGATACACATAATACGATAAAACTATGCCACCCGATCCGAGGCCCGTGGCAAATTCTGTGCACGGGGCCCTTGGCGTATCTTAGGTCTTGGGATTAGGGTCTTGGGCCGGGGCTCCCTCGGGTCGGGGGCTCGTGGCATTCTGTCAGCCCTGCCACCCTATAGTTACGCCACTGGAGCTAGTTCTACCACCCTGTGTGCGAGAAAATGCGACAGCCTAAATTCGCATATTATTGTCATCTTACATCATGTGCCTACGAAAGGGATTCATTTTAAGAACGTTCGCATTTAAAGTTGCATACGGATCCATCGATACTAATGCTATAAATGAGAAACATGCAAAAGTAACTCTGCCAATCTGTTATGTTTTAATTTAAAAGAAGAAATCAACTGAAAATAACTACCATTTAAAACAATGTGGGCTCAGAAAGAGCAGCTTCTTCTTGTCGTGTCGACAACAAACACAGTGTCAGCCCAAAACTTCGCTAAAAGATTGGCGTTGTCAGTAGCATTCATTATCTTTCTGCGTGCTCTGCGTGCAGTTGTTTGGGCACGGGCCACACTTTTAAAAGAACAGCTGCGCAAGAAACTCACTCAATATTGAGTAAGCAACGTTGGTCTGTATTTTGTTGCAGAGTCAAGATGAGCAAGCTGTGCAGGCAAGTGTCAATAGAGTCGCCGGGGCCGACGCTCAAGGAGTGCGTCTTCAGCTTTGATGTCCCTGTCCCCGATGTGCCCATGTATGGCGCCAGGATCAGGGTAAGTGAAGGCCATAGAGATATAGAAAAATGCCAACTAATGCGCTGAGTTCGAAACTCACTGTCGCATTAGAAATTCACACACACAAAGTAAACAAAATAAATGCTCATTATCCACTACAGTATCAGTACTCAACGTTCGAATAATCTTTAGTACTACGCAGCTACGCAAGCAATTTTTTCACGAGCAATTTGTACTTAACTGTTTTTGGGCATATTGATGTGACACCTGCCCGCCGCGCCCCCTTGTCATATCTCCCTTTAGTTTCTGTGATCTGTGGAGAAGGCATTTTCAGCACCAAATCGAATTAAGTCTTTGTCTCGTTAATTGAAAGGAATGTAAGAGACAAAACGGTCAGTAATTACGCGTCAAGAAACTATGCCTACGGGATCTTTGGTGGAAAGATCCGACTAGATTAATGACATTACGTTGCTTGTTGAATTAAAACAAATTCCGAAAGCAATATTGGCTTTACTAGTTCTAAATAAGACCCTGAGATTGATTAATTTTTAACATCACATTCAGCAAGGTTTTGCAACTACTTATTAGTAATTCTTGATTGGTTACCCATTCTTCCCGGGAAACCAATGGGCTATGTGAGGCTCTACTGTTACGGGCTACTCCGAAAAACGTTATCCGAAGTTTCGAACGTTGCCATCCCTGTCACGCAAAGAGAAATGCCAGCATGAGCGACGGTGACAGATAGACCCGAAACTACGTAATCGGCGTTTCCGAGTAGCCCTCCAGGTCTCTGCTCGCGCTTAGTGAGACAAGTCGAGAAGGTCGCATGTGTACCACCAAGCAACGGCCGCGAATTCGCAATGAGCTACCTAGGGACTCTCACGAATAATCTCACTCCTTACATAGAACAGCACCATAGCAATAGTATTGAGAAGCTTATGGCTATTATAATACAACTAGCGGCCGCCCGCGACTTTTTACCCCCTTCGTATCCGCTAAGAAAGGATTTTCGTACTCCACCCAGTTTCGTAAAATCCTTTCTTAGCGGATGCCTACGTCATAGCATCTATCTGCATGCCAAATTTCAGCCCGATCCATCCAGTGGTTTGGGCTGTGCGTTGGTAGATCACTATGTCAGTCAGTCAGTCAGTATATTTAGAAGATCTCCTTGACTCCTTGGACAAACTCTCGAACTGATACACAAATATTTGCCCTTAGCGAGATACCTAGCAGCTGGTGTTTTAGTCACGCGAGAATAGTATCTAAGGCCATATGCCGTATACAGAAAGAAAGCTGGAAAGCGCTTGTCAGCGCTGGTCCGTTCGTTCACAAAGGAAGCAAGTTGAATGGCATTTTATATGGCAGCGTCCAGAGCTGACCAGCGCGTGTTGAAACTTGTCGGCGCCGTTCAGTGCTTATCGGCGCGCGGTCATACATTTTCCTGCGTGAGTTATCAGCACTGTCAACCGCCGGTAAACGCTTATAAGTTTCCAGCTTTCTTTTTGTATACGGCCTTATGTTCACAACTTAAAACTCAGGTGGTGTACGCCGGCGCCTGCTACCGCGCCAACAGGACCCGCTCTGCGTCTGTGTGCAGCACATCTTCCATCTCATCCGTCGGCAGCCTGTCGGGTGAGATGGAGAGCTTCGGCATTCACGTGACCACTCCTGCGCACATCGGCTTACGCGATGGCGCGCTGTTCCCCGGTGAGTTTGAAATTTCAAAGGTCAGGTCCAGGGTTTGAAAGGACATTATTATCAATGATAATTATCACACTATCATAGTAATTATCGTGATTTGCCACATTCGCAATCAGAAATGAACCAATAATATGACAAATGTGTCTTATACTGTTGATAATTATCATGAAGCGTAATTATCTTGATAATTTCGAACCCTGGTCAGGTCAAAGTAAACGCAGCCCGCATCATGCATGAACAACATTGTCGGTGTTTATACATTTTGTATTGATGTAATCTGATCTGACAGTGCAGTTCATTTGACCTGACCGCAGACCGCAGAACGCATCCAGTGTGATGCTTTAATCGTGGTTTCCAAAATCCGATTTTTGGCATATTTTAACACCAATAATTTTCACTATTGTTCTTATGACGTCACTGTTTTTTTAAGTCGACTGAATGACTAGAGATTTCTTAAATAAGTAAAGATAGACATTAAATGAAAATAAACACTTTATACGTAGATTGGCTGTTATTACTTCAATGTTACATTCCTATTTTGTAATTAATTGTAACTATAAGTGGTGTCAATATCTCTATTGACCCACATTTATTGATGCCCACTTTAGATTTAGTATGGAATTTGTGTGCAGTGACGTAACTTTGCGCTGACGTATTGAAAAGTCAAATGAATGCACAGCGAACTGCTCTATTACACTTACAGCGAACATTCGCCATGCGAGTTTTGTTTGCGAACATTGGTATCGCGAACGTTGGTTATGTATGTTTTCTTTTATACTGGACTAGCTTTTGCCCGCGTGGATTTTAAGGCGATTAGAGTCCTCAATGACCTTGGGCGTTTGACGCGGATTGAGGACTCTAATCGCCTTAAGCTTCAACCACACCAATGCGATCAAAGGCCAATGACAGGTCGTGCGACCCATGACAGTACACACGACCTGTCATTTCCCTATGATCGCGCCGGCGATGGCGATCTGCACGCGTTGGTGTGAATGAAGCATTAGGCAATTTGCAAAAAACTGGAACACTAAGGCCTAGAACAGACGGTGAAACGCAATTGCAACGAAACTGCAACTTTCTGATGATTCTTATGAATGAAACTGAAACTGAAAGTTTCAAACTGGTCGCGTCATGTGTGGTCTCACAACGGACGCTATGGCAGAAACTTAGATGCACCTCAAAACTAACTAGCAGTTGCAGTTTCGTCGCAGTTGCGTTTCACCGTCTGTTCTGGGCCTAATCGTTTTTCCCTGTACTAACCACCAGTAATGTTCTCAGGATACGAAGTGGCTGGCGTGGTGGACGCTATTGGCAAGGCGGCGGACTGTCCCGCCGGCATGAAGGAAGGCTCCAGGATAGTGCTGTACCCTTACGAGGGCGTCCCGCACGGCTATGCGGACTACATCGTGGTGCCCGACTTCAAGTGTCTCGTCCCGGTGCCGGACAACTTGCCTCTAAGCGTGGCGGCCATGTTACCCACTGGAGCTCTGCTCGCGATGAATACTGTTTACACTGCAGGTGAATGCCTGAAGAGGGTCTTGGAGGGACCCAACCATAAGGTAAAATTGCTGTTATAGTATCGATGTTGTTTAATTACTTGCCTTCTTTTATCTTGTAGGTTGTAAACGCTGAGGTGATAATTATAATTCAGACAGATGCAGCCTCGTTCGTTACAGCCAATAGACGTCCGTAAAGTAGCCGTTATAGATCGTTTCATCCACGAAGACGCGCCCCGCCATTCTTCCGATAATGTTTGAGTGTTATCGGTACACGCTAAATCATCCATGAGTGCACACGCACACTACAATAGTGTCGCTCGGATTGCTCGGATCAAACTCCCCGCACCCCGCGCTTCCCTCAACCAAAAATTGGTGGGGCGCGTCTTCGTGGATGAAACGATTTAAACACGCAATCCTTTAGGCACGGTAATACTATCTATACAGTATTCCAACTCGGCCATATTTTTGAAATAAATGTCAACAGCCGAGCGGTACGTCACCCTATGACAACATGCGATAGGGCTGCCCACCTACGGACCCTATTTTCACTACATCTGCCTACTTAGAATTTCTATCTAGTTTTTTGAGTGTATTTTGTAATTGTAATTTTTTATTTTATTTTGACAAACAAAATACTTTGTCAATGAAATAGGATAAAAATGCATGTTGTCTTGTCATTAGTAGATTTAACTAAAAAAAATATTTGTGTTAAGATTTAGTAACAAATCTTATAAATTTGCGACCGTAAAATGTATGCTCAAATCAAAATTATCTTTATTTGTTTAGACTAATTAAATTAGTTCTTGCAAATCGTCAAATGCTCTTAAGGAGCCTTTACATGTCTCATTCTTTTTTTGCCCTACCAGCTCCTCGACCGAGGCGTACAATATGCTTGATTTATTATACAGAGTGTTGGGTAAATGGGTTTATAAGCAGATACTAGCCCATGTTAACATGTGCATATAAATGGTATGGTGAAGTCAGAAATTTTATATCAGCATTGTAATAATTTTAATTTTCATACAAATCTGATTTTATATGAAAATTTAAAAAAATATGATATCACTGACTACACCATACCATTTACAATATAATGTTAATATGGGCTAGTGTCGGCATAAAACCCATTTACCTAACACCCTGTATAAATAGGTACTTGTAATTGTTTTTTCTAAAAACAACACTTACTGTTTACAAAACAACACATCGTCAGTTTATTACTGTGGCACATTCGCGACACCCCCGACTTTTGCATGTCGAGCGCATACCGAGATTTGAATTTCGAAGGAAAACTCGCGTTTCGTCCGTTTATATGAAGTTACAATACTGTATGATAGTATTACCGTGCTTTAGGCCTGGTTCAGGCGCGCGTGGTTAGTTTCTGGTGGTTCTCATTGGCGAGGTACTATCATGAGCGTAAAGTTATTTAATCATCATCATCATTTCAGTCATAGGACGTCCACTTCTGGACATAGGCCTCCCCCAATAATTTCCATGTCCACCTTTATGATGTCGTCGGTCCACCCTGTGGGTGGACGTCCAACGCTGCATTTTCCGGTACGCGGCCTCCACTCCAGAACCTTGCTGCCCCATCGGCCGTCAGTTCTGCGCACTATGTGCCCTGCCCATTGCCACTTCAGCTTGCTAATCCGTCGGGCTATGTCAGCGACTTTAGTTCGTTTACGGATCTCCTTATTTCTGATTCGATCTCGTAAAGAAACACCGTAACTCGTAACGTTATTTAATCTGCATTGTATTAAAAAATATTTATGGTAGATTTTTTTCATTACATGTTTATATTTTTTTAGTTTTTTCATAATAAAGTTTTTTTCCGTAGGTGTAGGTATAACCAAGTTATTTATAAAATGGGTTTTCAAATGGTTGGAAAATTTTCCATTACTAGTCAATATTTTTTATGCAAATGCTAAATGTATTTTTATTTGTTTCTTTTTAAGTTGAAATGATACCTAAATCATAAGATCAAAGTTATTTTAGACTCTGCCACAGTTATTATAAAAATTCGTGTCCATTTTCATCGTTGGAAAATGTTCCATTACTATCAATATTTTATGCAAATCCTCTATTTGTTTTATTAACCATCAAATTAGTATTTTTATTTTAGTTTGAATGGCTAATAAATTATGAATACCTAATGATACACACGTTGTATCCGCATGTCAGTAAATGCGTTGTTACGAATAAAATGTAAACATTACGTGGGCATAAGTTATCACAAGTTGAGTTATTTGGTATACCTAATATTTATAAAGACTTATTTATTAAATATTAGTATTGTGAGCCCGTCCCGATCTGTCCCATCAGGGAGTTTGTTCAAGCTGAAACTTAGCTCTAATAAATAGTAAGGCCAAAAGTAAATAAATGAATATAGGCCCAGCATACTTAATTTGCTGAGTAATGACACTTTTTTAAAGTTCTTGAATCTATGATTGAGGCTTTCCATTGATTTAATTATTCAGATCAATCACGGAAAAAAATCTAAGACCAAGAAAGGGTTAATCTAGTTAGTTGTGAGCCTGGTTTTGTGTTAGAGACTTTAGTATAATACCAATTTGCGTATTCATCTCGCTCGTATTCACAAACGATGCTTGCTTAAGTGAAGCAGCAAATCGAACGCACAGCTTTGAATAGAGCTCTGTGATTGGTTCGTGTGTCACCCTGTGCGTGTACGGGCACTGTGAGACGTCATAGTAATGTTTGTAAATACGGGCGTATCTCTCTCTTTCTCTTGAGACTTAGGCCCAGAACACACGGTGAAACGCAATTGCAACGAAACTGCAACTTCTGGTTACTTTTGAGTTGCATCTAAGTTTCTGTACTAGAAAATAGTTTGAGTTGCACCAGTTTGAAACCGGTTTGAAATGGTCGCGTCATGTGTGGTCTCTCAACGGACGCTATGGCAGAAACTTAGATGCAACTCAAAAGTAACTAGCAATTGCAGTTTCGTTGCAGTTGCGTTTCACCGTCTGTTCTGGGCCTTACTGATCGTTTCATGTGTTCGATTACCTATACAATTCATCGGTCATGTTTTCGATGTTGATTGATAGAACGTTCTCTCTTTCTCTCCTAGGATAAGGCCACAATCCTGATAGTTGGCACCGGTGGGCTGGCGTTGTGGGCCCTGAGGGTGGCCACCAACTACTTCAAGCACAGCCCCCTGCACGAGAAGATTAGTATCACCGTGGCCACTCTGAAAGACGAGGGGTTCATCTTGGCGCGGGAGTGCGATGAGTGAGTCCCAGCAGTCTTTCCTTCAAACTAGAGGCGTAAAGCCCAGAACAGACGGTGAAACGCAACTGCAACGAAACTGCAACTGCTAGTTACTTTTGAGTTGCATCTAAGTTTCTGCCATAGCGTCCGTTGAGAGACCACACATGACGCGACCAGTTTGAAACTTTCAGTTTCATTCATCAGAATCATCAGAAAGTTGCAGTTTCGTTGCAGTTGCGTTTCACCGTCTGTTCTGGGCCTAATGGCGCAAGTACACTATGCGGGAAATTGGCCGAGACTACAGTGTGAACACCATCTCGGTTACTTTCTCCTTGCCCCAACCGTGCGTCACCCATATGTACTTCGGTGAGCGATCTAGCGCTTCGTCTCGGTCAATTTTCCGCAGTGTACTTGCGCATAAGGGAACGTTGCGTGGTGCCACTGTGCACCATTCAAGTTTTCATACAATGAGGGTATTCGCGAATGAAAAATCCGCCAGATGGCAATACGTAGACGCGAGGTCCAAATGCTGCATGATTGGATATTTTTGACATGACATTGACAGATATGTCAAAATCCACCAATCACGCAGCAGTCAGACCCCACATCCACGTCCCGCCATCTAGCGGATCTTTCATTCGCGAAAACCCTCATTTCAAAAAGCGCAATTTCATATCGATATCGATAGATCGAACTGTCACAGTGACAGGACTTCATTGGATTAGAACAGGCGCAATAAACAAAAAACAACATTACAGTATTGCGATGTATTTTAATTGCGATGTTTATCTTCCGAAGGACTAAAAACAAAAACGAGTTTCGCATTCGACCTTCAACGGGTTTATTGCTCTTTATTATTCGTGTACCTTTTATCGTTCGGTTTAATGTAGAATTACGCTGTCATCTAGAAGCTACTCCGTCGTATCTGGTAGGTACTAACGTGTTAAGGACTTGCGGTCAGGTCAAAGTGAACGCAGCCCGCATCATATACAGGGTGGAATTTTATAATGCCGCCTGGAGGGAAAGTTCTCTTAATATTGTAGATAGATTTTTTTCTGAAAGAAAACATTCCATTATTTTTGAAAGATAGAAGTTCATTTAAAGATTTCCAAAAATTTGCTTGAAACATCCAGGAATCTAACCAACTAAAATGTTTTAAAAATTACACCCGGTATTTTTATTACATCGATCGTTAGGGTTGAGTATAAGGATGAAATCTCTCTAACAAACTTGATAAATCAAATGAAAGGAAAACCATGAAATCTTAATTTATTTTAATTGTGTTACAAAAAGTGGTATGGTATGGTAATGAATTTTGGAAAAAAAATCGAAAATTTATTTATTTTCAAAAATAAAGGAATGTTTTCTTTCAGTAAAATTTTCTATCTACAGTATTAAGAGTACTTTCCCTCCAGGTGTCATTACAAAATTCCACCCTGTATGAACATAATAATATTGTCGGTCAGGGCAACGGTCAGCGGTCCGCGCAAAACAATCTGTCAGCGGTCGTGACAAGGCCGTCTGTCAGCGGTGCGGCTTGCGTTCTGTGCCCGTGCGGATCGCATCGATACAAAATGTATAGATACTGACAATGTTCACCTAAACGCTGACCGCAGAACGCATTTATTGTGGAAAATCCTCTGGCATTAATATCGAGCAATATAGGTAGTTATTTTTGTGGTTTACCCGCGGCTTCTCTCGCTTGGATTTCTTCTTTATGCGTACGCGCAAACTAAATGACCTACATTGGCGTAGCAGTCATGACGTCAGTTGCCACTAAAATGTTTGAATGAAAAATTATGTTTTGTTCCACAAACCATCTAAAACAATATTTTTATGTGGCACTTCCATCCCCATACATTTATTTTATTACCAGGCGTCATGAAACACAGTCATTTCGATAATTTGGCTGTGAAATATCGCCAGCTGCCAGTTACGTGTCCAAGGTTATTGAGTCCATAACAGCAAATATTTGCTGTTAACTCAGGCATTTTAATTTGAAGTGTTAACTTGCTAACCGAAGCTTTTCCTAAAGTACGATTTTTAATTCGACGGAATTCTGACAGCTGTCATTTTTTGACAATTCAGATGTAATAAGCCTTTTTTGCTTTGAATTATTAATAAATAATATGAAATGAAATTTCATCAAGTACAACTTACAAGAATGAACTATTGTTTGTTTTGTCAATTCAATGTACACTAATTATTATGTACATTTTAGAGATTAAATAGAAAAAAACGTGTTTTAACACAGTAAAACAACATATTTATCATAAACGAAAATATGTATTGATCATCAATAATCATTATCTTCGTCATAATCAACTTGGATTATAAAATTGGCATCTTGTTAAATTGGTTATTTTATGAAGCTAAGATTTTATTAACAAAAGGATTTTCATAAAAAAGGTTTGTAACCCATGGATTATTGGCCAGGGAGTCCAGTAATAGAAAAATAATTTCCCAATTTTTTTTGTAACTTAAAAAATATGATAATAAAAATTCAAATGACCATTTGGAAATGATCAGTACATTTTTAAGCCTTAGTTTTTCAAGTGAAACCTAAAATTCAAGAAAGGATTATTTTTTTATTTGTGAAAATGCTCTCCATTCATAATGGGAATGTTTCAATGTTGACAACACTTCTGAAATGTCAAAATTCCGTCGAATTAAAAATCAGAGTTTACATACTTAGTGGCTAACCTCGGCCCGCGGCTTCGCTTGTGAGGATTGCTTTAATCTAGCGATCATAATTTATTATTGATTTTTTTACCATATCCTTTGAGACATTATTAGAATCCAGGGTCTAAATGAGAATTTATTTTGTATCTATGTCCTTCTAGGGTCCATCAATATTACCGTAAAATTGGTGTGAGCTTGTGCAAACGTAAAAGACATACTACAGAAATATGTTTCGCTATTATATTATATTTTTAGTAAATGCACACCAACGTAAAAAAATATGAGACAAAATGTAGCCTACTAGCGGCCGCCCGCGACTTCGTACGCGTGAATCCCGTTTTACCCCCTTCATCTATCTTACGCGGTTTAGATTTTTTCATACAATTGTTTTTTCCCGCTAACTCCCGTTCCCGTGGGAATTTTACGATATCCTGTTGTAACTAAGCTTTAAGTTTACTAAGGTACCTGCATGCCAAATTTTAAGCGTCTAACTTAAGCGGTTTAGATTTTTCATATAAAAAGATTTTCCCGCTAATTCCCGTTCCCGTGGGAATTTCGGGAATTAATTTCTTAGTGCACCTCTACGGTACCTAAGCTACGTCCCTTCCAAATTTCAAGTGCCTACGTTTAGCCGTTTAGGCTGTGCGTTGATATGTCACTCAGTCAGTCAGTTTCTCCTTTTATATATTTAGTAGATTCGTGTGGCTTGAACCCGCAAGCAAGATAATGTCCCTATCGTTGCACTCTAGAAACGGCTGATAGGTATGTGAGACTATTTTTAAGTTTGTTTTATTATAGCAGTCTATTTGTATACAGATATTGATAAAACGATGTAGCAAATAGGTCTTTGTCCCCAATCTTTCTTCAAATATGTAGCTAATATTGTTTACGGTTGCAATATTTCATTTTTGCTGATTAAAAATTCAAAGTCTAAGGCTGAGTTGCACCACCTAACTTTAACGGTAACTATGACGATAACCGGTGCTTTTTGTATGGAGTTTGACAGATTTTTGACGTTTGTCAAAGTTAAAGTAAGATGGTGCCACCCACCCTTAGTCTTGGATTGTATTTGCGCGAACTCACATTTTGTTTTTGTATCAGCATTCGAAAAACGTTTACGTAGGTCTCGCAAAAAATTGAAAACTGACTACGTCGACAGTCGTACGATCTATTTTGTGTTATACTGTAAACATTTACGTACGCCCGTATTCACAAACGATGCTTGCTTAAGTGAAGCAGCAAATCGAACGCACAGCGTTGAATAGAGCTCTGTGATTGGTCCGTGTGTCACCCTGTGCGTGCACGCGCACTGTGAGACCTCATAGTAATGTTTGTGAATACGGGCGAGTCTCTACGAATAGTGAATGATGTAATGTTGCTATGAATGTGACTACATTTTACAAGATTTTATGTAGCTCACTGTCTCATTATTAATTAATGAGTAAACAAACATATCCTAGAACTTAATTTAACCCTTAATTTAGCCGTTATTCAAATGCACTCTTTGTATAGTCCAGTGGTTCCCAAACTTAACTATTTAGTCAACTGCCCACTTTGATAATAAATTATATTTTAGCGCCCCCCCCCCCTTTTTGTAGTCAAGAGTCGAGCTCAGTCGATGTCTAAGAGTCCTCCTAGTAGATGACGCCTCCCAAGCCTCTACACAACCTCCCGATTTTTTTTCTGGGTCTCTTACCGCCCCCCTTTAAGCCTGCAGCGCCCACAAGGGGGCGTTATCGCCCACTTTGGGAAATACTGACTATAGTCAATTACAACTGCACAATGCAACATTAGAGTCACTTGCACAATACTACACTAAATACAATAATATTGTTTGAAATAACGTTCTATTTCTGGCAACTGTATGAAGTTATTGGAAAACGAAGGATGTTTTGATTTCATTATGAACATTGTTACTAGTGACTGGGCCCTAGTCGCATCCCTATTTGTGTGGGGTTAATGTTTATTTGCTAACATGCCGATTCGTCCCACTGACAATAGTGACTGAGTTTCTTGCGCTGCTTCTTCTCAGCACTGGCCCATTTATTGTCCCGAAGCAGTGATAGGGTTAATACTGGGACGTTTAAAAGTGCTTTTTAAAAGCCTATTTGCAAAAATAAAAGATTTTTTTCAGTTTTTTACTTGTAAGTTCCATCCATTGAAAGTTATAAGTTTGAAATTATGTGTATCAGTTCGCCACAATAAAAAGCGGTCTATTCCACTGGTCCGTGTCAAATCACCCCACACTTTAGTGTCCTTTGATCATCTAGGTGTTCAAGGTCGACTCCAGTTAAATAGGATAGTTTCCTAAAAAAACTTAGTCCGTCAATTAGTACATTATCAAAAAATATTGGACACGTATATTTTTATTTGTCAATCAAACATGTAATTTTGAAGTTATGATGCGTTGAAGTTCCGCGTTACGTCATAAAGTGCTACACTTTTAAGCACGCCTTGACGTCACGGACCTCTTCTTTTGAACTTTGGCGCGCTTTATCTCTTTCAATTTTCATTAGTTTGAAAAAGTGAAAAATACGTGTCGAGTATTTTTTGATAAGTTAACTAATGGACTAATTCAAACTCTAGCTTTTTTACCCAGGAAACATCCCTCCTTCGAAGAACGAATTTTGAACGTCGAGATGAATCGCCTTTCTTTTGGAGATTGTTTTCTAAAATGTAATGTTTTCTGAACATGCCTAACATTGTCATCAGGATCAATGTCGTTCAGTGGAACGAGGATCTGTATGAGAAGCAGCTGATTGAACGCACGACTGACGCGTGCGGCGGCCCCGTCGACGTCGTCATGAACTTCGGCACCGCCTCGCGCTCGCTGCACCGCTCGCTGCAATGCCTAGCCCCGGTATGTAACAGCTCAGTATAAAGCCCGATCTGCGAGCACGTAGAATTTTGTCCAATGACCCCAAGCTACCCATCCTTATCGCTCGCGCGTAATTATATTGCTGTCGCGACTGTGCCACGGGCGCCCGCAGTGGGAGTGCGAGCGCGACAGCAACATAATGCGCGAGCGGTAAGGATGGGTAGCTTGGGGTCATTGTACAAAATTCTACGTGCTCACAGACCAGACTATAGATCGTTTCATCCCCGAAGACGCGCCCCACCATTCTTCCGCTCATGTTTGAGTGTTATCGGTACACGCTAAATCATCCATGAGTGCACACGCACACTACAATAACGACGCTCGGATTGCTCGGACCAAACTCCCCGCTCCTCGCGCTTTCCTCAACCAAAAATTGGTGGGGCGCGTCTTCGTGGATGAAACGATCTAATATGTATAACTCAGTTACACCATGCGCGAACTTGATCGAATTATGTGGGAATTATTTGATTCACATTTAATATCTCAAAATTAACAAGATCATTTGGCCTTAACTTCGATAAAAAGAAAACAAATCGTTGTCAACATGAAAAAATGACGTCTGAATTCGAGGAAACTAATAACTAAACATTAGCAATAATTTGAATTTAAATGTATATGTGTATATGTACGAACGGCCTGCTATATGCGAAATGATCTCACGCACGCCTGAAGGGCGGCTCAAGGTGGTAGGAATATGCGATCAAACGATGAATATATTTTCTTATGTTTTGTTTCGTATTGACTCAATCATGTTGATCTAGATAGTGTTCCGTTTAATGCATAATTCACATGTCTGAATGTAGACTTAAACCTCGAATACACTAGTGTGAAGAAGTAATTACTTCATCTATTGTCTGGTCTGCGAGCACGTAGAATTTTGTCCAATGACCCCAAGCTACCCATCCTTATCGCTCGCGCGTAATTATGTTGCTGTCGCGCTCGCACACTCACGCGAGCGATAAGGATGAGTAGCTTGGGGTCATTGGACAAAATTCTACGTGCTCACAGACCGGGCTATATCTATCATGATAAAGTATGAACGAAGTACAACTACGGAGCCCTACACTGCGCGTGGCACGACACGCACTTGTTATACAGGGTGTCCCAGAATGGGTGAATCAAACTGATAGGGGAGGTAGCTCTACTAATGTACTATCCCTAAAAAATATGAAAAAAAAAATAAAGCGCATAAGGAAATTTTTTTTTTTTTAAAAAGTGAAAATATATCAGCTTTGCCTAAGTATCTGGCTATAATTGCTGCGGTTGGAGTTTATTTGTACTTTTTTCTTACTAATATTAATTGTACATGATCGCTTCGTTTATCTGTAAACAAACTTTTCAAAATAATGACTAGATTTTGAGTTTAGAGCACTTTATTTAAAAAAAAATTCCGAACTCAATTTTTTTGTCATATTTTTTAGGGATACGTAATACATTAGTAGAGCTACCTTCCCTATCAGTTTGACACCCATTCTAGGACACCCTGTAGATATGACGTTGCCTGTTGGCAGGGAGGCGTGGTCCTGGTGACGGAGGACGTGGGCGAGAAGCTGCTTCCCAAGTTCGCCAAGAAGGCCGAGGAGCTGGGCGTGAACATCGTGATCGTGCCCAACGGCTCCATCGAGCAGCTGCGCGAGCTGGTCCGCCTGGTCGCCACCGGCGAGGTGAGATCCAACTCTAATTCTTTCGTTCGTTTCAGCCAAATGACGTCCACTGCTGGACAAAGGCCTCCCCCAAGGTTTCCATAATGAACGGTCCTGCGCTGCCCTCATCTAGGCTCTTCCCGCGACCTTTACCAGATCGTCGGTCCACCTAGTAGGAGGCCTGTCCACGCTTCGTCTTCCAGCCCGTGGTCGCCACTCGGGAACTTTCCTGCCCCAACGGCCATCGTCTCTACGAGCTATGTGCCCCGCCAACTGCCACTTGATTTTAGCAATTGCGAGCTATGTCGGTCACTTTGGTTCTCCTGCGGATCTCCTCATTTCTGATCCGATTACGCAGGGTAACTCCGAGCAAATCTCTAATTCTTTATTATTTAAAAAAAATATTTTAGTAACTAGTTTATGACAACGTCGACATACAGACATACAGATCCTCGTTCCACTGAACGACGATGATCCTGGTGACAATGTTACGCATGTTTAGGCAAACATTTTAGAAAACATCTCAAAAGAAAGTAGTTTTATATCGAAGTTCAAAATTCGTTAAATTAAGATTTTTTTACTTTGGATTTGGATAAACCGGTCGTTCCAACGTTCGTTTTTCGTCTGTCATAGTAATGATATTGACAGGTTAAAATTTCGTTATTAGTTACTTTAATCTGTAAAATATAAATATTATGACAGATAGCATACGAACTTGAATCGGCCTGTCGCACGGCCCGGCAGCGTGCCAACTCAGACGGCCGCGACGAAGCGTTGAACTCTACAATACCTAATTCCAATAACTTACGCCAAAATAGACGAACTCAAAATAACGCTAGAGAATTCAGAACAATTGCACGATTATGCCGGCTTTATTACTGCAATCAACGACCAGGGTGGGCCATGTCCAGATGTTTCACTGTCTCTCAAACTCAAAATGTTTTTCCTTTTTTCGTGAATGAAACTAAAAACTGTCAAAGTACGAGTAATTTAGCAGTTGTCCAATGTGTCTGTTTATGCAAAACTCTCTTTGTACGTACGTATCTTTGTTCTTGGGTGACTAATAGACATACATAACGCCCAAGTCATCCGGTGTTCACACTTTCTCAACTCATATACGACACATGTTTGCTCATACGTAGTATAAAATAACTGTGTACTTGCTCATTGTGTATTTAGTTCAGACAAAATCGAGTTAAATCAACTTCTTTGTTTCATGATTCACAGCTCCAAAGGCTTTCCGATAATATAGAGAGCAAGTTAAGACGTCAATTGGGTCAAGCCTATCAAGTCTTTTACTATAAAATCTGAGCTCAGATAGTTCAGCTTACATAATCGATAAGTTTAAATGATTTTTTACGAATACGTTCTGTATTTTAGGCCCTTATAATAAATAGCAGTTAAAACACCAGTCACATGTCAGTGAACATGTCTAAAAATACAACACAGTTTAACTTGCAGTTATGATTTAAACTGGGTTAAACTACACAATTGAATATTTCTAGAACACGCTGCGCCGGCGCACTGGTACTATCATACTAATCTTTATCTTTACATAAGTTATAAAACAAAGTCGCTCCCGCTGTTTTTTCGCTTAGATCTTTTAAACAACGCAACAGATTTTTCCATCTAGTACAATTAAAACGCGAAAGTTTGTATGGATCTGATCTTGATTGTCTAAATCCAAATATCGATTACATTTTATCGAGTTTAATGACTCATTTACTTATTCCAAGACTAGCGGCCGCCTGCGACTTCGTACGCGTGGATCTCGTTTTACCACCTTCATCTATCTTACGCGGTTTACATTTTTTCATACAAATGTTTTTTCCCGCTAACTCCCGTTCCCGTGGGAATTTTGCAATATCCTGTTGTAACTAAGCTTTAAGTTTACTAAGGTACTTGCATGCCAAATTTCAAGCGTCTAACTTAAGCGGTTTAGATTTTTCATACAAAAGGATCTTCCCGCTAAGTCCCGTTCCCTTGGGAATTCCTAAGTACCTATACTATAATAACCTGCCCAAGAATATGAAGAATAATTGTACCAAGTTTCGTTAAAATCCGTCGAGTAGTTTTTGTTTCTATAAGGAACATACAGACAGACAGACAAAAATTTTACTGATTGCATTTTTGGCATCAGTATCGATCACTAATCACCCCCTGATAGTTATTTTGAAAATATATTTCATGTACAGAATTGACCTCTCTACAGATTTATTTTAAGTATAGATAGATATAGATGTTTGTTTACTGACACACTGCGACATGACAGAGACCGCTCGACCCAATTCAAGGGGTGACGCAGAAGAATGTTTAAATCCGCTCAATCAGAGGCGAACAGTGCAAAGTGGTCGGAATTGGCCACGATTGCACAAACAAAACGATTGATCCTTTAGTGGAAGGTCATGAACATGCGTACGCGGCGTACTAAACTATTTACGCGGGTAGATAGATCGTTGTACAATGATTGACTTCCTGCATTATTATAAAAACAATTATCCTACTAATATTATAAATGCGAAAGTTTGTATGGATGTTTGTTACTCATTCACGATTATGAATAAAAAAATATCCTACTAATATTATAAATGCGAAAGTGTGTATGGATGTTTGTTTTACTCTTTCACGCAAAAACTACTGAACGGATTTTGTTGAAACTTTACAGTATTATTCTTTATAATCCAAAATAACATATAGGCTATAATTTATGACGATATGTGATAAACTTTTCAATAAATAAATAAGACGTGTGTAAAAAGCGCCATCTATCGTCATTGGTTAAAGGCGCTGTAGACAGCGCTGGACAGAAATTTTGCCGTGCCGTGAAACGCCATCTATCGAGGTCCACGCGTACGAAGTCGCGGGCGGCCGCTAGTTAGGTAATAATTTTGACTCCAGTTCGTTCACTTATGCATGGCCTGTTTACCTCTTCAGATTGAGCCGCCGCCACATTCCGTGTTCCCAGCGCAAGAGGCGCAAGAGGTGGTTCGGAAACTCTGCAACTCAGAGATCAAGGGCCGGGCCATCCTGAAGTTCCACGACATCGATTAAGGCGGTGAGCTGAACCAATTGTCAGCCTCTGATCAAACTGTCAATTCGGTGTTACCTTCTTCTTGTTCAAGGCGTGATAATATACAGGCGGACTTTGGTAATGCCACCTGTAGGCCTAAGATGTGCGCCGTGATAACTTTTATCGACGTCAAAATGTATTGTATGGGCAAAATCGATAAAATGGCGTGATAGCCGCTTATCGCGCGCGGCGCGCATCTTAGGCCCACTGGAGAGAAAGTATTAGAAAATAGTACTCAAAGAAAACATTCTTCTATTTTTGAAAAGAAATAAAACTGCGTTCAAAGCTTCCCAAAAATTTGCTTCTCACACCCGGGAATCGAAGCAACTAAAATGAATGTGTTAAAAATTACACCCTGTGTTTTTATTTCATCGAACATTAGGGTTAAGTATAAGCATGAAATCTCTCTAACAAACTTGTTTAATTAAATTAAAGGAAAACCACGAAATCTTTAACTATTTACAAAAAAATTGTATGGTATGATGGTGAATTTTCGCAAAATTTTTGGAAAACTTTGAATGCAGTTCTCCTTTTCAAAAATAAAAGATTTTTTAACATTTTCTAATAAGAGTACTTTTTCTTCAGGTGGCATTACAAAATTCCACCCTGCTTTATGGCGCTACTTTCGATCGCTTTATATTTTACATGTGACAACTTCATCTCATTCAATAGATGGCGTTCCAATCGCGTGTAAAACTAGCGATCGTCGGATTGACACTTTGGCAAACAAAGAACCGTACATACGGTAGGATAGGGGCGTTTTTAAATTACAATTTTTGTGACGGACTATAATAACGTACGTTTACTACTATAGTTGACGTCACAAAATGACTAATACAAAAACGCAAAGACTAGAATTGTAAATGCCTAACTCGTGTTGGAGTTTACAATTCATTACAGATGGCGCTTAGTTCGGTAAATGTGAGCTTAAATGTAAGATATCACCTGGGTGATATCAAAATATATTTTAAATATGTGTATTCTTACGTAGGTATTCATGTGATTTATTTGATGTCAAGTATTCTGAACAATCGTGATTTAATTTGTTTGGATAAGATTGAATCTGCTAATCGTTTTAGCAGACCAATTTGGGGTCAGAAGTGGCCAGTGTTACCGAGACCGTGTGGCGAAAGGCAGAGAGGGACTTAAATAATTGATACAACTCGCTTAAATAACATTTTCTATCGATTTAATTGGATTCCTTCCCCGGAAGTCTGCTTTCCCCGCAACCTCGGTTAAATGCTGTAAATGGTTTTCTTAAATACTTACCTACAATTTGCAAAGGATACGTCGGGAAATCATCGCGAGGTAACGTAGTGTAAATAACGATTCATATGCGGCTATTTGTATTACGTTATGCTTGTTATGTAAAAATATTTTCCTACGATACATATTATATTTAAACGTTTGCATCTTGTATGTGTTCGTTAAAATCCACTAATCGGTTAAAATTGTTTTTGTTAATTTGATTGTACCTTCTAAAATATTTTTGTTGTTGCATTGGATTTTGAAATTATAAAATATATCATAGTATGTATGTATGTAATCATAAAAATTAAGCATTAACTAGTTAGGTTAATAGGTGTAGGTGATTTTTTCGTTTTAAAAACTAGGTGTCTATGTATATCAAAGAGTTAGTGTTAAGTGTGCAGTTATTATTAAGTCGTTTAGTATGTTCATGTTATTGTTTGGATTTGTGATTTGCGGAATGGATAACGTCAATTTCTGTACGAGGTCGTGAATAGTTACGTGATAGCAACGATAAGGCTCGTACACTGTCGTCCTGGCTTGATTAGACCAGGTGACCTTTGATAAGGCCAGGTGACCTTTGATAAGACCAGGTGACCTTGTTTGACCTTTGTACTGTTGCCACTAACTAGACTCGGGCGCGATTGATTGATATTGTGTTTTCGATTGAGATGTATCCATCCTATGATGATTGGTGCGAGTGGCATAAGGACGGTTTTCTAATCATTGGGTCGTGCTGTAACACACAGCTTGCTATTTCTATGTAGGTATCTACGCGTGGCACTGTTATAAGAAACATTTTGTCAGTCCTTTGCTATAATGGCGAATGAAAGTTGCGTTTATTTAATTTCAAATTATAATCATGACTATGACTAACATTAAAAATATATCTACGGAATAACGTGCGCTTGAGTTTTGGTTTAAGATCTGATTTCGCACGATCGCCCGAGAAAAGTATACAGTCTAGGGGCAAGGTGACACTGTCGGCAACCTGGCGAGTAAAGCCCGGTCTGTGAGCACGTATAATTTTGTCCAATGACCCCAAGCGCCCGGAGTGAGTGTGCGAGCCAGTCGCACAGTGGCGACAGCAGCATAATTACGCGCGAACGATAAGGATGGGTAGCTCGGGGTCATTGGACAAAATTCTTCGTGCTCGCAGACCAAACTATAGTGGCGGACATGTGCGTACTCTCACGTAGGATTAAATTATCAACTGTCTTTCTATGATCTCTTGAGACAATGATAAAAACTAGTCTTGCAATATTTATGTTGAAATCTCCTTGTATTGAAGCAAATTTCTGTTGAAAATATATGGCTTCGTTTATAAAACTGTTAAAGTATGTTCAGCTTATAAATCAATTATAAAACACTTGAATTAAGTTCCGCAACGAAAACTGCACCCCCTTGTATAGTTTTTACGAATTTAAGACCTGCCATTCAACTTTGACTTCAATAATTTGCTTGTAAAGTACAAAACGTCAGCATTGACATCAGTTCTATTGTTTCCGTGTAAACAAGTTAGGTACTTGTTTTTATTTTATTTTCCGTAATATTCTCATGTGGTTGGCAATGGAAAATAATTAATTATGAATATATCACCCTCATGATTGTTTGCAAATTATTTACTTCTACCTACTTTGATTGAATTACAATATATGTTTGGTACGCTGATCAAAAGTTGGTCAAAATTAGGTCAAAATACTGATTTGAAGTTTCGTCCGTTCAGGAAATTCGGTCGAAGCCCAATTCTTCTTAAAAATTGGCGTTAAGTAAACTCCTTAATAATTGTTATTTGCTATACAAACCTAATTGGATGTACTTGTTTGTTCACGTATATCTAAAAATAGACTCGCTCAGTAACGATGCCCTCTTTCAATGTCAAATGCCCGAGAAAAGTTAAAGGCGCTAAATTTAAAAAAAAATGTTTTGTTGTGTCCTTATGCGCTTTTTTTTTCATATTTTTTAGGGATAGTACATTAGTAGAGCTACGAGTACATCCCCTAGCAGTTTGATTCACCCATTCTGGGACACCCTGTATATACTTCGTTGTTGCATTTCCTTTTATAACGCACAGAACCTAGCGACACACCGATAGCTCTGACAGCGTATGTTCATGGGTTCGATTACAATCTGAAGCGCAAGATTTTTCAAGTGATAGATTTGTTTAGTATTGTAAATGATAGAAATTGCCTCTTCATCATGACACATAAATAGTTGCTACAATGAATGTTACTTGGAAGTTATTTCTAATTCATGATACGGCCTAAAAGGCATCTTTTACTTTAGTTTAGTTAAAGCCTGGTCCGTGAGCACGTAGAATTTTGTCCAATGACCCCAAGCTACCCATCCTTATCGCTCGCGCGAAATTATGTTGCTGTCGCGCTCGCACACTCACTGCGGGTGCCAGTCGCACAGTCGCGACAGCAATATAATTACGCGCGAGCAATAAGGATGGGTAGCTTGGGGTCATTGGACAAAATTCTACGTGCTCACGGACCAGGCTTTAGTAGCCGTACTAATTCTACCTGTAAATCGTTATTCTTTCCTCCACAGGACAGGCAATGCCTAGTGTGGAGGTCTGTCTTTTAGTTATTGTATTGTTTGAATCTGGCAATAAATATTTTCATTTTCAGTTGACCAACCACTTGCTTTGATAGGAAAAAACCTTTTAGGTATTTAAGTATGTTTATGGATCACGGTGTAGTGTATTTTACTTTTAAGATTTCAAAAATAGCACAAGATTTATGCTCAAATGTTACGACACTTTTACAATAGTTTTGTGTTTAGTGCTTCTTGTTGCTGTAATGCTGTACGTATTTCTTGTATAATGTTATCTGCCATTTTAACCTCCTAGTAACTTTTGTGTTTATAACGTGATTATTTTTGATAATAGCATATTTTTGTAAAATCATGTGCGTAATTATGTGTTATTCTTGAAATACATTTTGAATGTAAGTTCTTATTATATAAAAAACAGTTAGTTTTGGGGATACATATTCTGTAGAATATATTTTACTAAATAATTAGCTTAGGAATTAATAATTAATCAGTGTTTTGCCAACAAAAGCCATAATAATAATATCTAGTCAAACTCGTGAATCATTTTGGTTATATTCAAGCCACTTAAAACTTCTGAAATCGTATTATGTAGTGGTAAGAAGTCAAATATTTATTAGTTTAAGATGGTTACATTTATGTAATTTGTTTACTTACGTGTACTTTAATAAATAAACGAGATGACATTAATGAAATTGTGTATTTTAATTTATACAAACATAGCTTTACTCTTTGTTATGTTCTAACTGTCAAATTGTCTTACCATTTTCTTGGAAAAAAATAATAATTTGTGTTCTTTCTAATGTAAGTGCCGTGTTATCAATCACCAATATTGATTTTTAATTTAAAGATGTTTGTTTGAAGACAAACATTACGATTTGATTTTAAATCTATTGCAATTAGGGTTGCCAGGCGTCCAGCGTAAGTAACTCTAGCTGAGTCTAAGCGGAGTTACCAATAGGAATAAACTTATACAGTGTTTGATTATAGGGATCGAAAACATTTCGTAACTCAATGGAACTACTTATCTGGACACAGCCGAGAAAAAATCAAACATTTCCTAACATATTAAGCAATTTATAGATTATATTATCTTAATTTATAACATAGTTTAGATATTCACACAAAACCTGGGGCTGGTTTTAGTGTCACGCGGACCGTCCGGTGCGGACCCGCTCCAAACCAGCCTAGTAATTAATAGGTATTCAAATCAACTTAAAAAGCATTATTTATAAATCGAAATAAATAAAGTGCCCAATTAGTAAATAAGAAATGTCAAACTAGGTATATCTCATACAGACCTTTTGTACAATAAAAGTCCCAGAAGAAAACACTTAAAATGTATTTTTAATCCAAGAAGTTAAAAAATTACGATACAAAAAGAAGACACTGAAGTACACAAGATAGGTATGATTTTGCTGTCAGTACCCCCTATTGTGGTGTACGGCTCTTAATTTTCCGAATAGGTATAATGATTTCAAGTTTTTTATGTCCTTTGAGAAAGGCAGCGCCTTTTTCTTCGGGACCGGGGCTTCGTCTTTAGTTCCCCACACGTCGATCACCGAGCGGATTTCCTGGTTTGTGTCCGCGTGAAGGACTATTAGGACGGTTGATGTGCCGATGCCTCCCATCTTGATGGTAGCGCTGGCGCCGCAAGACTTGATCGCCACGTTGTCAACGTGGATGTACTTGATCGTGTATCCTGGGAAGTAGTTGTCGTACACGTACACTTGGCCTTCGGTGATGGACACAGGCTTGTTCTCGACCACAGCGGAGTCCATATGCTGAAGGTCGTGCCGCCACACGCCCACTTCTAGAGGCAGCTTGGTTTTCTCACAGAACATTCTGGCGTGAATGTGCGTTAGGAATAAGGCTAGTATAACGTACTCCATAGTCCAGGAGTTAGGTTCGATTGAGCGTAGAACAGGTGGGCCATTGTGATAACTTACAATGAGAGCGATAAGGTTTTTGTTTTGTTCACCATTATGTTAGTGGGGTTAATGTGTGCATTATTAAGTTTCTAATTAATCACTTCGCTTAAGTACTAGATCTACTACTACTCTGTGTTGTTTTGTTTCTGATTTCTGATGTTGCTTTATAAAAGATACCTAGCTTTTGACTTATTACGACTTACACGTGAAATGACTTACACGTGAAATTTAGCTGGTCACATCCTACTAATATTATAAAGGCGAAAGTTTGGATGTCTGGATGTCATGATGTCTGGATGTTTCTTACTCTTTCACGCAAAAACTACTGAATGGATTTTGTTGAAACTTTACAGTATTATTGTTTATAACCCAGATTAACATAATATAGGCTATAATTTATGACGATATGTGACAAATACATTTCGATAAATAAATAAGACGTGTCTAAAAACGCCTTCTATCGTCATTGGTTAAAATCTACAGGGCTGGACAAAGTACTGTTTGACGTTCGTAAATATTCATGGAGGGAGCCGTGAACGCCATCTATCAACATGATATCTAATGGGGGTAAAACGAGGTCCACGCGTACGAAGTTGCGGGCGGCCGCTAGTATAGGTAATATAACTTGCTTATTTATTACCTATATGTATTGAGTTACCTATTACTCGCAGATGCATACAACCGGTCAAAATATATTTTACTTAGTAATCATAATCGTAATCATAATACAAGGTGGCCCAGAAGAAAATTCACTTTTGAAAATTCAAGGAAACGAAAACTATACATTTTTATAGAACTTTAACTATTGCAATTTAAAGGAAATTTAATGCAATTTATTTTTAAATTTACTTTTATTCAATTACATCGCCAAGGAGATTTCCTTGACGCTTACAACATTCGATGTAGGTATACTATTAGTATAAATTAGTGTGCGAATTGAAATTCTAGTGCACGTGTTATCAAAGACTAACAGCATTCGGAGCACGAATAAAAATCGTTCTCGTTATGTTGTGGTAAACGTCAATTTTGTATGAAAAACAAAGCAGCACTGCTACGGTTGTTTAAGGAGTTTGATTACTTAACGATTATGAGTTATTGTGCTTAGGGTCAAAACAATCTAAGTGAAAATGATTTCTTGTTAGGTGATGTGTGTTTCCGTGTGTGTGTGTGTGTGTGTGTGTGTGTGTGTGTGTGTGTTTGTGTGTGTATGTGTGTGTGTGTGTGTGCGTAAGGTAAAGCAGAGGTTGTTAATTTTCTCGGGTATAAGTTGAAGAAAGAAAACATTTTATTCAACGGCACAATTTATTGTAGTCTTTTGATTTACATCTGGTCCCTAATAATACAAATTTATACATTATTTATTTCAATTGGTACACCAACAATAAAATACTTCAAAAGTTACATTACGAATAGCGGTGATTCGAATTGCACAGTAAGTACCAAAGTCAATCCAAACGCAAAAGATCGATTTATTTTAAGACGAATCATCTGAAGATTCATTAGCGAATCGCGCGAGCATAGGATGGAATGAAAATAAACAGCTCTCGCTCTTACATTATGACGGACGAGCGAGACAGCTGATACTTTTCAGTCCCATCCTGCGCCTGCGCCGCTTGTACATTACTTTCCGAAGTTCTTTGGTGTTTAATGTTCACAAGATCGAAATGATATTACATGAAAATTACAAATTAATTAAATACGACACTACAAAATAATATTTTATATATAATATCACCTATATTCGTATAAAATACCTTAACTAATTCAACCGAAGCATGATTCTGGTCAAGCGTGCACTCCGTACACTCAAATCCGTCATAGATAGTCCCGTAAGGCAATTTTCTTAATAAATGTATTCAAAAACAGCATTCAAAATGAATGATCATCGGATTACGTCATTACACTATAAACAACAATTATTATCAAAACCTCATTAAAATTATCATCAATCACGATGCTTATTGATAGGGACGGACAAAACTACGCAATAATCGAAAATCTCATGCGACCCAGTGACATAGATATATAAATTATAAACATTTTGAAATATATATTTTTAAATGCTGCAATACGCGCGCATAAGTATTATTTACTTTTATTGACTCACGGAACTTCAAGGCACTAATATTCATATTTATAATTTTCAGTTCATTCATAAAGTAATAATATAATTTTGTATAGAAAGATCATTAGTTCAATATTGACTTTTAAGACACGCCGTTGATATATGACGTCCGCTTGGATATTAAAATTGGAAGTCAGCAGTCATTAAGTTGAGGTTACAGTCAACATCATAATTTTACAGAATCAGACTAAACTTGGACTCTCGGCAATTGGATCTAAGGCTTGATTTCCTCCTACGCTGACGTCGGTCGCGTACATCGGTCGAGCGTACGAATAAACACAATGTTCTATGAAGCACCGCACTGCAACGCCGTCGTCAGCGGCAGATGATTACATAGAACTAGTGTGTAATCGTGCGCGCCGCTGACGTCGGTCACCGATGTCAGCCTAAAAGGAAATCAAGCCTAAGTTTTATTGCATCAGAAAGGTTGATAGCTGCCTATGCATATTATGCTAGCTATACCTTCATTTGTCTTGAATTCGATATATTTCCAGCGGTAACAAACAAGATTGCGTTAGTTCTGGCTCGCATTTGATAACCCTTTCAGCCCAGCCGAACACAATTGTGACGTTACTTTAAAGATAAATTTTGGCGGTATTTTAAGACGTAAGTGATCGGGCCCACAGCCGCACAATTGTGACGGATATGCTCTATCTATTGGTGTGAGTAAGATAGCCAGCAAGCGCCGCGAAATTCAAATTAAAACGGGTTAATTTTGCCGTTGTTGTTGTTTAGGGTATCGCTGCGTGTGAGTGATTCTAATTACATTAAAATTATGCAATTGTTATGTTATTATTGTGATTTATAGTTAATTATGAACTGTTTTACGTAACAGTGAATAAATTTGTTTGTATTTTTGGTTAATTCTCAAGAAAAAGTGTCACAGAAGTATAAAGTCACAATTGTATCACTGCGGGCCCAACTACATACTACATTGCAATGGCTAGATCATTTTTTTTCCTTAATTACTATACAATTGGGGAGTTACTGGAACAGTAAGATATGGGAGATGTTCATGAGGCATGTGTGCAAGATTAGAAGATTCTTACTCCTCCAAGAATGATGCTCCACTCTCATCTTTGAGGGCAACCCCCAATCAAAATGACGGCAAATGGATACAAAAAATATTTCGTGGCAAGACTACTAGTCAAGCTCAAGATAATTAAAGTAATGAACAGCCCAAATCATTAGCGTAGTACTTAGAAATTTATTTTAATGCCGATCTGTTTGTAATGATTGCTATCGCTGCGGAGCAATATTAAATGGCCGAAAAAGGCCAGCAAATGAAATCGCAATGTAGATCTAATGAAATCAAAATAATCTTAGGAGTTCATGGGACTATTAATTGCATTAAATGCCCTTGAATCAATTTTTTTTGTATTGTGACTTTGAATGAGTTGGGCCCACGATGATACAATTGTACGCCCCCTGAAAAACCATGAAAACAACATAGTACCACTGAAAATGTTCAATTTTCATTTTCTCTGATCCCCAAAGATAATGAATATCGAGTTTTTTTATTACTACCTTGTTTAGTTTCGTCGTGGGTCTGAAAGGGATAAGGGAACTTGAATAGATACGGCCAAAAATACGGCAGTCTCTGTTTCACCGAAAGAAAATGCAATGGACGAAACTTACAACAGTTGAGTTTAGACTATGCGTGCCAGAACCAACGCCACCGCAGGAATGTCTAGCCCGAGGTCACACCAGACGTAAACGTAAACTTACACATTAACTAACAAATATTCGCCAATAGCGTGGTTCGTAGTTGGTAGCAAACAAAATAATTTTGAATAAAAAAAATACTGTTGCGTCTGGATGTGGACTCAGACCTATAGTCAATATTGAACTTTGTAGAAATGATTTGTTTGTTAACAAGCGTAAATAAATGATTACAAATATAAAAATGCAAAATATTTTTATAGAATATACATAGATTTAATCGATTTAAGTAGAGATCAAAAATTGTCTACATAATATATTAATATAATTTCACACATACGAACTATTGCACACTTACGAACGCACAGACTTGACCGCAGTTGTACATTGACCTTTAATCCCTACTCACGCGCTGGTGGGCGCTCTAATACTTATATTAGTACGAGAGCCGACCGCAAATATTCATACCTCGATGAAATGCACAATGATATCCCATAGAAGTTCTGCTGAGTCCGGATCAAAGTGTCACCACGGCGAAACTTCGGTGCGAAAAATGGGGTGTTACTTTACCCATATCTCTGATACCGAGATAATAGAAATTTACTGTTAGATACAGAAAACTAACTTATTGACAAATGTTACTAAATGAATACTTTACGGACATATACAATAGATTCTCTTAACTCTTAGAAGACACTTAACGCAATTTTTCTTCGCCCTCCTGGTTTGAATGCAATGCAGCTTGCTGTGATTGCGTCACCTCTGTTGGATCTGACGAATTGAATCTGACTCAGGCTCTTTTGTCCAGCCGATGGCGCCTGGTATATTTATAGTTTTTAAATTAACCATATTATATTTATTAAAGAAATTGCGTTATGAGTCTCATCTCTCTGCACTAAACTGCACCATTACTAATCAAACGAGCCCAAACTCGATGGGGTTGTCATTTTATAGCAGTTCCTATGGTGAGCTGCATGTCATCGTAATATTGCATTGTCACAGGGACAGGTGAAACTAAACAAAACTCACCTGTAGATATTTTTATCACACATAGAACTTCATAAGCCTTGGCAGACATATCGCACCATGAGAATAAAAGCGACTCATTTAAAAAGTAAGTACAAATAAAAGTAACAACCCTTTATCCTCACCAAAAATACGGAATTATTCATACTAACCGACAAGTTCCGTCGTGGCGACAATTTGATCCGGACTTAGCATAACTTTTATGGGATACAATAGTGCATTTCATTGCGGTATCAAATAGGTACGAAAATATGCGATCTGCTCTCGTACTATCTAAGCTGATTCAATAGAATTCGTCATTTATTACATTTGTAGTTGTGTCAAAAATAAAAAGTCATATTTGCATTAAATTTTTCGTACACCGAAAAAAATGTTAATTGACATTTGACACAATGGTCGTATTTGTTAATTGACAAAACAAGACCGAGGGCAATTAAAAAACAATTGTCATAAAATCATATTGTTAAAGTTTTATACCATTATTTTTTCTATAAATGCCATTATGTTATTGACCCACCAGCGGCAAATCTTTCTATTCGCACACTTGTTCCTTTTCGACGTACCCAGATATGTTTTAATTGATTTCGTTGAAAATTAATATTAGTTTAATAAAATAAATGCCTAAATGGAATATGTATTGTTGAGGCACTATCATTTCACCCTCATTAAAGGTGTTTTATGCGAGGAAGAGATAGCGGGCGGTGTGTACCGCGTGACAAAAAGGTATGAAGCAGACGAAAGCACCGGAGGCCAAAGGGGTTGGTGAGGCTTGATGTTCCCTAATGCAGCATAATTATCATTGACAGCCGGTTCAGAGACACTTTCTGCAGTAATTAGTGATATCCAAATTACTAGAGGAGGCTAGGGCTTGAAGCTTCCCTGACCAACAGGTCCGTAACCCGTACTTACAGGACCCGAACACGGGTCCACCCGAACCATCCAAGGCAGTTGGTAATTTCGTTATTAACCGACCAACTAACTCACTGCAGGCGCCCGTCGCACAGTCGCGACAGCAATATAATTACGCGCGAGCGATAAGGATGGGTAGCTTGGGGTCATTGGACAAAATTCTACGTGCTCACGGACCAGGCTTTAGATGATTGAGTAATAAAAAATAGTATACTTTCATCTGCTGTAATCATACTGATTCGTCACACGTATTCATTCATACTAGTGAAAAATGATAACGAAGCACTTAACATAGGGTGATAAAAATCTTATATCGAAGGTGAGATGTTTTTTTTACAATATATGTCGGTACAGTAAAATTCAATAATCGTTACAAAATCGTGCATTTGGAATGGTTAAGGCTGGGTTGCACCATCTTACTTTAACTTTGACAATTACGTCAAAAATCTGTCAAAACCCATACAAAAAGCACCGGTTATCGTTAAAGTTACGGTAAAAAATAGGTGGTGCAACTCGGCCTAAGACACGTTAGCACACACATTCTATTTTGAACTTCAATTAACAGTTACCATTAATTTATCAAGATTGACCTTTTAGAATTGTCTGCATTATGGTAGTAGATCGTAATTGTACACGGTGAAGGTAAATACTGAATATTATTTACCCGGTTGTGATCAGGTAATACCCAGTACTACGAGATATAATTGAATATGGTTGAGTTTACCATGGTCTGGGTACGCGACTGCGGCGTGCGTTACATGTGGATGGTGGCGGCGGTGTATCGCGCCTCGCCGCGGCGCCAGCTCCATTGCGATGGCCGGTACTGCGGACATAATACCACAATTAGGGCTCAATTCAACAGGTATTCATTCGGTTTTACATAATAAACTATGTGTAATAAAAGGTTAAGGTTAATGACCGATGTATAAAAAGGTTGCTAGTTACTTTCTGAGATATCAGAGACCTGTGAGACCGAAAGTAGTAGTTTAAATACTTATTAGGGTGATTATTTAGTCCAAGCTGAAACAGGCTCTTAGTTAAGTTCTTACAACGTGTCTCAATAGCGTCTCTCTATTTTCAAAGTTCTCAAAACGCTGACGGCGCCGCCGACGGCCGAGTGGTGTCGTGCTGTGCTGTGGGTGTACCTTGATGAGCAGCTGGCCGCTGCGAGTGTACCTTGATGAGCAACTCAGAAGCCTGCCTGAAGCAGAACTTGGCGTAGGTTAGGTTAGGTGACCCCACGATCCCGAAACCCCGAGGCTCCTCGATTGGCTCAGTGTGCTCCGAATACGATCTGTGGAACGGCTGGCATACCTCAAAGGTGATGAGGCGATGGTCAGAAATGCTGGCCTCCGGGTGCACTCTCCATTTGGAGATGCGTACTCCTCTTGTGGACAAAGTGAGGTCCACGTTTGACTCACCATTAGCAGTGCTAAATGTAGCAGGTTGGTCACTTGTGTTGTGCAGTAAAGCCTGGTCCGTGAGCACGTAGAATCCCGTCCAATGACCCCAAGCTACCCATCCTTATCGCTCGCGCGTAATTATGTTGCTGTCGCGACTGTGCGACGGGCGCCCGCAGTGAGTGTGGGTGCGCGACAGCATCATAATTACGCGCGAGCGATAGTGATGGGTAGCTTGGGGTCATTGGACGGGATTCTACGTGCTCACGGACCAGGCTTTAGCAGTATTCAGTACCTTGATGAGTAGCTGTCCGCTGCGAGTGTGCGGGTTCTTGAAGGCGTACAGCGTCCAGGCAGCGAGCGCGCAAACGATCGTGACCACGAGAATGGCGCTGACGGCGCCGCCGATGGCCGAATGCGTGTCTTCGTCCTTCGCCGGCTCGCGCACCGGCGCCATGAAGGGAGAGTTCTCGGCGCCGCTTTTCGGCGGCGGCAGCTTGGGGGTAGACGGCTCGTTTGCAGGCACTGGGGATTTAATATAAGAATAAAATGCAAAGGTTGTCGACAATTTACCATTTTTACCAAGAAACTGTTTATACAGGGTGTTTGAAAGAAAGAAAGAAAGAAAGAAAGAAAAATTTTTTATTTGGTCCAAAACAATTTATACAATTTTACAGTTCAAAGTATTTGTACATGTTTGAACCAAAATGGCATCCGCTCAGCATTGTGTCCTGCTCTGAGGTAGACCCCAGAACAGGACGCTGTTATTCTGTTTCTGTAAGGTGTCAAGCCGGCGCGGAGTGATAGGTATGGATACTTATCGATTAACTCCCATGTAATTTGAAAAAGTTACAGAATTTATGTTGACTCCTAAATTGACGCCTTACAGGAAACATGCGCTGAGTTCAAAACTCAGTGTCGCATTAGAAATTCACACAGACAAAGTAATCAAAATAATGTGCTCATTATCCACTGCGGTATCAGTACTCAACGTTCGAATAATCTTTAGCACTACACAAGCAATGTTTACATTATGACGTCGCTGCTGTCATCATTGCTTTCACGAGCAATGTGTTCTGTTTTTGGGCATATTGCTGCGACACCGGCCACGCCCCCTTGTCAAATCTTCCTTCTTCTTCTTTTCGTGTCGACAACAAACCTACACAGTGTCAGCCCAAAACTCCGCCATAAGAGTGGCGTTGTCAGCAGCACTCATCAAATCCTCCTGAGTGCAGTTGCTTGGGCACTCAGGGCACGACATCAGGTGCTTCATCGACTGGGGAGCAAAACCGCACCTGCACATCTCCCTTTAGTTTCTGTGATCTGTGGGAAACACCCTGTATAATAGAAGTGGAGAGGGCTATGCTTGGTGTTTCTTTGCGAGATCGAATCAGAAATGAGGAAATCCGTAAACAAACTAAAGTAGCTGACATAGCCCGACGGATTAGCAAGCTGGAGTGGCAATGGGCAGGGCACATAGTACGCAGAACTGACGGCCGATGGGGCAGCAAGGTTCAGGAATGGAGGCCGCGTACCGGAAGGCGCAGCGTGGGACGTCCACCTACAAAGTGAACCGACGACATCGTAAAGGTATAGCAGGGAAGCGCTGGACGCAGGCCGCTACCAATAGATCAACGTGGAAAGCATTGGGGGAGGCCTATGTTCAGCAGTGGACGTCCTATGGCTGAGATGATGATGATGATGAGAGGTATATAATGTATAACTGCACTAAGCCAACTTAAATAATTGGTAATACGGTTGTTTCGTAACTTTTGTCTTAGAACTTGTCAATTTTAACTTACCAAACTTAAAATTTTCATGGAATTTATTGTCATAAACTTAAAATTAAATAATTTCTTCAAACGTGTGCGACCTTAGTAGCTGTTCTATTTGTTATTTTCGTGGATAACGGTGCTGGTTGTGCATTTATTTAAGATATATCTGTAAGACTTTTTGTAAAACCGTTTGTACAATTGGGTATTTGACACCATTCGCCAATAATTCTAAACCACAACTTTTTTAAAAAGACACTTCTTTCTGGTTTTAAAAACTTAATTAATTTTTAATTACCTGTAAATTACGATTTTTGGTTGCATTATAATTGAAAAAAGTAGTTTCATTGAGTTGATAAAATTGTGACGTCACATGCTAGTACGCGCACGTTTTGACAGTTTTAAAAAGTACGTCAATTGATTGGTGGTGTCAAATACCCTATTGTTTGTTGTCCCTAATAAAATAAAATAAATAAAAGTAGACTCACGCGTGTTGACGACAGCCTGGTGGCGGCCGCTGGATTGCGCGTCGGTGACGTAGGTCGACCCGTCTTGCGCGGGCGCCGGCGCGCGAGCCGGGCACATGCTTGCGTTCGTGAACAGCGACTTGTCGCAATCTGAGGCGGGACACGATTGGTTACTCTTTGTTAACCTTTTCAACGCCAATGACGGATACATGAGTACATCAGTGGGCTGAGTGTAAGTTTAAAAATGTATGAAAATTTTACTATGGGCCTCATAAGAAGGCTCAAGGTCACCCAAAGAGCGATGGAGCGTGCTATGCTCGGAGTTTCCCTGCGTGATCGAATCAGAAATGAGGAGATCCGTAGGAGAACCAGAGTGACTGACATAGCCCGCAGAATCGCTAAAATCAAGTTGCAGTGGGCGGGGCACATAGCTCGAAGAGCTGATGGGCGCTGGGGCAGGAAAGTTCTTGAGTGGCGACCACGAGCTGGAAGACGTAGCGTGGGCAGGCCTCCCACTAGGTGGACCGACGATCTGGTGAAGGTCGCGGGAAGTACCTGGATGCAAGCGGCGCAGGACCGGTCTTTGTGGAAATCCTTGGGGGAGGCCTTTGTCCAGCAGTGGACGTCTTTCGGCTGAAACGACGATGAAAATTTTAATTTTTGAACGTTTCCCGCTAGGGGCGCTGTACAATCCGTCATACATTTAGAGTAGGCGCACACCGTTGATTTTTAGTTGGCCGATAGTTGTGCCCGATTTTAATTTGTATGAAGAATCGGCCAGATCGAATCGGCGTAGTGTGCGCACTCCCATACATGCCCATACTGATCAACTGCCCGACTAAACTACCGGCCGACGAAAAATCAACGGTGTGCGCCTACTCTTAATGTCATTTTTTGACGCGCTCACTAGTGAGAGCGTTCCATGTAAACTCACACTAGGCCCTCAAGTTGACCGCCAACGACGGATTAATCCGCCTTAAAAATTATGACAGTAATAGGCTAATTGAGTATTATGTAAACTGAATAATAATGAATACAATTATATATTGATATCATTATTTATCAAGCGTGGCGTCAGAGTGATAGTTTTTGTATTTGACGTGGCGCTGAAAAGGTTAGTACTTTAGTCAAACCCTCAGGGCAGAAACTGCGTTAATGTTTCATACAGTGCTTCGTCGTACGTGGGCACCCGCGCGGGAGAATTTCGTATGAAACCGCGCGGGCGTCCGCTTAACGCAGTTTCAGGCCTAAGGCCCATGTGCACTTCATTTTTAAACGCGTCAACGACGCGTGTTTGTAGCGATACAGACGCGTGTGTATCGTTCCGAATTCCAACTTTGCAACCTCTTATGACTGCCGCGCTCGCCACCATATTGGAAAATTAATTATGCAGAAACAAACTAGACAAAATTTCCTGCATTTGATGATTGTTAGAGTTAGTGTAAAGTTTGTTCCACAGAATAACCACCACAGAATAATAATAAGTACTAGGTACGTACAGAAGTTTTACTTCGCGAAGGTATTTAAAAAAATGTATGCTCAATGTCATTAACAATATGGTGTAATTTAGCCTGTCTCAAGAGTCAAGCACCATTTTGTTGACAAATGTCAGTGATCGGCACTGCGCCGAAGCTATAGGGCTGACTTCGGTAAAATTATGTGACGTGAGGTGCCAAACTGCGGAAAATGGCGGAGGAAATACATGATTTAGCATGAATTATCATGAATAATATTAACTACTTATTTACCTCTCAGTGTCTTGAGGCAACTTAAAAAAATACATTCTGTGTTTTTATTATTAATTAGGCAGTTAAATACTGCACAGTATTTAGTACACCAGTTTCTTTATTTTCTTCCATCATACACAAGAAAACGCGTGCGTGAGTCAATGTTCGCTCGTATGTGAGGCCTTGTCGAATAGTATCCTGTAGGTGGGCCATCGTGCGTGTTTTGTTTTCGATGTAAACTCGCGGAGATGAACAGGCCTAGTACCCAGTCAGTGGTAGGTAGGAGTGAGTGATAGCGCCTAGGAAGTGCAGGGTGAGGGAATTCCACCCTTCTCTATGGGAGGGTTAAACAATGATTACATAACTATTTTGTGAAATCAATAGTTTAGGAGCAGGAGCGTGTATGGCCTGCTTTGCACAGAGCCGTTCGATTAAATAGTCAAAACACGCAAATGTAACTACGCGCACCTAATTGTAGCAAAAGCACTTACTTCTGAGCTGCCAGTCTTGCTTGTTGCGATCTGTGCCACTCGAGCATTTCATAAGATTTTCACACCACGAACACTGCAAACAAACATATCTAAGTTAGAGGATGTCAAAGTCAAAATTTCTTTATTTTGTTTGGACTAATAAATAAATGGACTAATAAATAGTTCTTACAAATCGTCATTTTGCTCTTAAGGAGCCTCTACATGTCTCATAATCTTTTTACCCTACCAGCGCTTCGAGACCAACATTTGGCAAGTGCAGATGCATCTCTTTACATACGACATAGGGAAGAAGGAGGCTTAAGTCTAAACTATCGCAATCAGCAGACACGCACGAAAGAAAACGACCACGTGGCAGCTTCATTTAAACGAAGGTCAGGCACCTAATGCAGATCAAAACAACCTAAACCAGAACACAGAAGACCACGAGCACAGATGGCACGTGCTTTAACGGCACGTGGTTTTCATACAGGTCAGGAAACGGTCTTCTATAGATTAGGCAAAAGCACAAATTTTCATAAGGCGTGCAGGAAAAGCGACGACGATTGAAAATTACCTAAAACTAAACGTGCGATATCGGATCGGAAAAGCAGTGATGAAATTTGAATGTAGTACAAAAATCTAGCTTTACAAATAAATCTAGAAGTTTTATTCATGCACGTGTTCATCAAAGAATGTGGTTCTACAAAAAGAGGCAGCGCCGTGTAGTTGCCGATCATTGAGGTACTCAAGTCGAAGCCGTTGTTGTGGTTGAGGCACTCACGTCGAAGCCGGTGTTGTGGTTGAGGTACTCACGTCGAAGCCGGTGTTGTGGTTGAGGCACTCACGTCGAAGCTGGTATTGTGGTTGAGGTACGCACGTCGAAGCCGGTGTTGTGGTTGAGGTACTCACGTCGAAGCCGGTGTTGTGGTTGAGGTACTCACGTCGAAGCTGGTGTTGTGGTTGAGGCAGCCGTCGCAGGTGCTGTACTGGAGGCAGGTGGGCAGCGCTGTCAGTCGCAGCACAGTGTTGTTGCCGATCTCGTAGTGCTTGAACGTGACGCGGTGGTACTCGTAGATGGTCTTGCGGCGGACGTCTAAGGAACATATTTTGTTTGTAACACACTTTATCTGTACTCGGAATGGTGAGGTACAATAAACTAGAAGTTAGACGGGATCTAAGCCTGGCTACGTATTTGTTCAAATTAGTACGGGGCGGGTATGCAACCAGGTCATACTGCAGTCGATGAGGCTTTGTGTGCCGGACCGGTACGTATGGACGTACATTTTTCACAGCTTCAAGGGATGGTATTTGACGTTAATTACGAGCTGATACAGACAGAAAGGACAGAAAAATGATGCTGTACTCCCAGCATTTTTTTCTTCTGAGTGGTACGAAACCCTAAAAATGTATTGGGAAGGAGTGGTACTCACAGAATATGACCCTATCAGTGAGATAGGCGTCACTGATTCCAATCTTGACAGGATGCGCCGAGTCGTCGATGTCTTGCACGCGAAGTGGAATGGCCTTGTATGCAAACACTATGTCCCCGTTCTTGTATAATGTCACGGCGAATGTAAACGGCTTGTCTGGACTCTCACGCAGCGTAACGTTCTCCCAGAAGGCAGTGAATTTCTCCCCTGTGGACAAGGTGATTGGGTTTATAGTTGCTTGCTAGAATAATCACTGCATTAGGATAGACATCGTCATCATATCAAATCAAATATATTTTATACAATTTAGACCACTGGTGGCACTATGAACGTCAAAATATAGTAAATAAAAAAAAAGTAGCCCTTATGGGGCACTTTACATTGTCTCCTTATCTTTTGGGTCCTACCACCGCTTCGAGACAAACATATGGCAAGTGCTGAAAAGAAACGCCGGAATAAACTCAGTCATCATCATCATCTCAGCCATAGGACGTCCACTGCTGAACATAGGCCTCCCCCAATGCTTTCCATTATGCCCGGTTGGTAGCGGCCTGCGTCCAGCGCCTTCCTGCTACCTTTGCGATGTCATCGGTCCACCTTGTGGGAGGACATACTGTTCCAACAACTCAACCAAAGTCAAAATTTTTAGTGCTTACAAATCGTCAAATATTTTGGTCTTAAGGAGCCTCTACATGTCTAATAATCTTTATACCCTACCAGGGTACTCGACGAACGCCTGGAATGGAAGCCTGTGGGTAACGAGCCATTGGACGTGGACAGGGTAATTAATTATACACATATTTTCTACTTTGCCGAACATTTGCACGAGAACGGTTTGTTCAAAACATATGAATTTGGTCTTATTTAATGCAGGATTAAATGCCCTTCAACCGTCAGGAAGACCACTTTTCTATAGGGTAAGTCCTTTACGCGGTATAACCGGAAAACCGAAAAAGCGCCCCTTTCCGGGGCCCCCACCACTTAAGCACAACTCCGTCGAAGTCGAAAACCTAGGAGTCTTAATGGGCAACCAATGAAGCCGTTAAAGCAAGTAAATCTTTTGTTTGAATTATTTCCGATTTAATCAATTTTTGTGTTTAATTCTACTGGCCTAGAAATGGTTACGCTTTCCCGAATAAAGCATATCCAAACCCATATCAGTGCATTTACTGTTTACGGTCTAACAATATGTTACGGACAAACTAACTCCCGGTATGTTATTAGTTAGGCAGTGCATTATTAGCTATCATGGCGATAGTATCAATATGGGTTGGTATTGTAACAACACTTTGTCCATTACATTTTATGCCACTGTGATGGGTCCTACCAAGAATGCGGCGGTCCAATTGCAGTTCGTTGAACTATTGGACTGCCAATTTAGTATTGATGGGTATGCCAGCGTAATCAATAGCTGTGCGCCGCAAATTGAGTTTGCTATCGTATAGCAAAGGATTGGCGAGGCCGCATTTTATTCGATAAATTCATACAATAATTCGAACACTACAGGGTGTTGATTTCAATCCTCGCCATATTTATTTAGGTGATCTATTATCTACACTAATATTATAAAGAGGAAGACTTTGTTTGTTTGTTTGTTTGTAATGAATAGGCTCAAAAATGACTGGACCGTTTTTAAAAATTCTTTCACCATTCGAAAGCTACATTATCCACGAGTAACATAGGCTAAATTTTATTTTAGAAGAAAACAGGGTTCCGTAAAATATGTAGATAATGTAGTCCACGCGCGCGAAGCCGCGGGCGGAAAGCTAGTAACTTATATAAACGAATTTTCCACCACCAAGCTTATAGCAGAAAAAAAGAGGAATAAATTCCATGAGCGATTATTAATAATTTAGATTATTTTTTCCGTTTTAGTACAACTGCATTTAAGAATAAAAGCTTGTTTTTAAAAACAGTTTTTTTTCTTGGCGCTTGTGCTAAAAGCAGTGGCGATGTCGAAAAAAACACGAACGGAAATATTAATGTCTCCACATGAAAATTATACCATTCATCAGACAATTCGCTTCACATAGCACTAAATGTATGTATGTGTATGTGTATTTACACACTGAATTATGTATTTGAACACATGTTTTCACGGCCAATTTAGTAGGTAGCATAATACTTTTTACTTTATAAATACGCTCGTATGAAATACATCGAAACGCTTGAGTAACCTCGTAGCAAATAGCAATAATCATGTTATTACGTAATAATATGTATTACAAACAACTGTATAATACTTTACGAGGCGTCAAGCCGTAATTTATAAAATAGGAACAATTTTCATTATTTATAATTATACTTACATTGTTTCATTGTTATATGAAATACGATGAAAATGTTATTTACTTTATGTAAGAATTCATACTCCCACATATTTAAAACTTTTTAAGGTGTCTTCAAGGATGTGCCTATATTACGAATGTATAGTATGGGGCAGCAAACAAGGCTCAACGTAAGAACTCACGCCCGTATTCACAAACGTTACTATGAGGTCTCACAGTGCGCGTGGATGCACATGGTGACACATGAACCAATCACAGAGCTCTATTCAACGCTGTGCGTTCGATTTGCTGCTTCACTTAAGCAAGTATCGTTTGTGAATACGGGCGTCAGTCAGTACAGCAGCTTTACAGTGAATTCATGTTCACTCTACAGTCAATATTAAAGCTTCACATCGACAGTTCGACACGGCTGTTGTTATTCACTAGCTAATAAGCTTTGACAGCATAGTTGCGCCTACAAAGATAGTTCCCGCCCGTGATTACCGTGATATTCTGTATGCAAGATGGGCCCGCCCGTGGGTGCCGTGATGTTCTGTATGCAAGATGGGCCCGCCCGTGGCTGCCGTGATGTTCTGTATGCAAGATGGGCCCGCCCGTGGCTGCCGTGATTTTCTGTATGCAGTCACTCGCGACGTGTGCCTGTGTGGACAGCGACTCACCGTCGTCCGACAGCTTGACGATGCTGTCGTTGTTGAGCGAGGTGTCGAAGTTGGCCATGAGCGGCGCGATGTACTGCGTGGCGGCCAGCCAGGCGTGCGTGTGCTCGCCCGTGAAGATGAACCCGCCTGTGGCTACCGTGATGTTCTGTATGCAGTCACTAGCGACGTGTGCCTGTGTGGACAGCGACTCACCGTCGTCCGACAGCTTGACGATGCTGTCGTTGTTGAGCGAGGTGTCGAAGTTGGCCATGAGCGGCGCAATGTACTGCGTGGCGGCCAGCCAGGCGTGCGTGTGCTCGCCCGTGAAGATGAACCCGCCTGTGGCTACCGTGATGTTCTGGATCCAGTTGCCGTAGAACGGGAATTTGAAGCTGAGCTGCACCGTCTGCGGATAAGGTAAAACATTGTCTTGTTAGCTTAATCTCATTCGTCGACTTTCTTTTTAGCCAAATGACGTCCACAGCTAGACAAAGCGATAAGGCGATTATCACACTGCACCGCGCTCCGCCGCGGTCCGTGTGGCTACATATAAAGAATTCCGCGCGCAGACGCGTTGTCAGTGTGTTGTGCCGCGCTTGTTTTCTATATAAACTGGTATTTGCATACAATGATTAAATCTGTCGTCCCGCGTACCGCGGCGGAGCGCGGTGCAGTGTCGCCTAACGTCGCCACTCGATAACTTTTCTGCTCATTACGAAGAAGTTATTATTCATCATCAGGTCAGTCAGGTCCTATAGTTTCCACTACAGGAGGATGACAAACCGCAAAAATACTTGTTATTAGGCTCTGTCATTTGCACAATATCAGATTAGTAAGTAGCATATCATCATCATCATTTCAGCCACAGGACGTCCATTGCTGAACATAGGCCTCCCCCAATGACTTCCACATCGCACGGTTGGTAGCGGCCTGCATCCAGCGCCTTCCTGCTACCTTTATCAGGTCATCGGTCCACCTTGTGGGTGGACGTCAGTATGTATGTATGAAGTATATAGTAGCAGATAATGGGAGTAAAAAGCATAGGGTAGGTACGAGGACACACCCACTTTGAATTCTTCTTCTTAATGTACAGTTATGCTGAACTATTTAAGCTCAGTGTCCAGTTTGGTACGAGGTACACAGCAGAGTGTGCCTTTGTTTTCAGCCTCGTGATCTTAAAGTGGCCCTGTTTCTTCTGCGTGGATCTTGCCGTGGTGGGAGTTGGACTTGGGAGATGGTGATGTTGGCCCAAATGCCCAATATTTAGCCAAAATAATATGGTTGAACTACTTAGCTCCTTGCAACGCCTATAAACCTTAGGCTTGCCCAGCTTCTAAGTTAATGGAATCATGCCATTTCCTGGAATTGTGAGGTAGTCCAGTCATTATAGTAAGTTCACCTCGGAATTCGAGATACCCAGCTGTAAGTCTGTAAATACGTGTATATTGACACCCTAAAAGTTGTCTCAAAACCTACATATGGTAGGGTGTAAGCAACTATTAAAGGACAATGTTCGTTCTCCATACATTGTTCGCCTAAAGAACCAACAATTTTGACATATTACTACCCGAAAGCGAAATAATACGATTCTGTGTGTAAGAACAACGATTCCTGATGGACACTTGCCATAAAATTAATGATTAAGAATATTAAATCACAGCGATTTTATAATATGTCGTTTATGACAACATGGCGTCTAATGTATTGTGTGAATGTATGAACACCGATTCGCGAAAAATGTTTTGTATTGTCGTCACGCCGAGTCGCAGCCAAATAGTATAAAATAATAGAACAAGTTTTAGAAATACAACTCGGCATTCCACTTTTATGTCCAGTCTCATACGAACAACAGCAGTAAGATTCAAACAAGTTTGATCCATGATGCCGCACGACTATTGTGTGAGCCGCCCACCCGTAACCCAAGCTTATTTAGCTTAACACAAGGGGCTGGACGGGACTATTAGTAATTTGTGCAATACATCTTTAAAAAAATCTTCCTTCCTTTCGT